TGACAGCGTCTCAGCTTTACCGTACAGCCCGTCCAGGACATGCGACTCGTGCGCTGTGGTCTTCTAGGCTTCACCCATCTGGTAGGGTCAAGTCTCCAAAGTCTCCAATGGAGATAAACGTTTTGCTCAGTACTAGACAGAGGTGTGCAGACACGTGACCAGGTTTCACACTCTGAAAGATGAGTGGTGTCACCACGCTTTGGCAGAGACCTTCGTATTTCCAGCAAGTTCAACAGCTCCTTTTCATGTCTTGCACCGAAGCCACTCTGTCACAGGGCCCACGTGCCGGGAGGTCTCAGCAAGCACAGGGGGAGGTCAGCTCACCAAAATATCTGTTTACTATTCCACAGACAAATCAAAACCAAAGTAAATATTCTCAAAAGTCTAAGAGGAAAAAAAAAGCCGTTTGCGTGCTACCTGCTCTCGCTCCCACACTGTCTCTGCTTTGTCCTAGACCGTGAAGGAGGCCCGGAAACCAAAGTAAATATTCTCAAAAGTCTAAGAGGAAAAAAAAGCCGTTTGCGTGCTACCTGCTCTCACACCCACACTGTCTCTGCTTTGTCCTAGACCGTGAAGGCGGCCAGGCCGGTGGCAGAACCCAATGCCGGATTCTGGGCTCAGCTGCAGAGATATGAAGAAGAGCTGCAGATGCCAAAGCAGCCTGATCTGCCGAGCAAAGGATGTGAAAATAGCAGTGTGTGAAGATGTTTCAAAGAGAGTGAAGTGGCTTGCTACAGATTTTCAAAATAGTGTCATCGCTTCGTATCTCACGTCCCCATAAAACGCCTTGCTCCCCAGTCTGGGTTGATGGTTCGTTAGGTTCATGCAGGGCGTTGCCGCTGCAGGTGCGTGGGGAAGGGGCGGACAAGCAGGCAGAGACAGAAAACGGTTGGAAGGGCTGTAGACAAGTCAGGGAAAGGCAGGGTGTTGTCAGCATTGATTTTCCCCCAAACGGCACTGAATACGATAACAACGCATTGAACAAATGAATGGGTTACTACCCAGGGATTTTATTCTTGGTTTTTAGTTAAAATTCCCAGTCACATCGCTAGAAAAGCTGATGCCACATCAAGGCAGTTCTGAATTTCCGTCTCACCCACTGGACTGTAACTCATGTTCAGCTTGTTCAGCCTGAAGAAGAGAAGGCTGCGAGGGGACCTTAGAAATGCCTCTAAATATCTGCAGGGTGGGGGTCAGGAGGATGGGGCCAAGCTCTTTTCAGTGGTGCCCAGTGACAGGACAAGGGGCAATGGGCACAAACTGAAGCAGAGGAAGCTCCAGCTGAAGATGAGGAAGAACTTCTTCCCTCTGAGGGTGACGGAGCCCTGGCCCAGGCTGCCCAGGGAGGCTGTGGAGTCTCCTTCTCTGGAGATATTCCAGCCCCGCCTGG